CCGGGCGCCCGCCCCGTCCCGGCCGGGCCAGGCTGCAGCCCCCCGCCCCGTGCCCGGGGCCCGATCCCCCCGAGCGGCCGGGCTGCAGGAAGCCCAGTGGTTTCTCCGACGCGGGCTCTGCGGCTCCAGCCCCTGCCGGGAGCGCTGCAGAGCTCATCCTCCAGGCCGGGGCCCGCCCGCCACCACCGCCAGGTTGCCAGGGGAGAAGAGGGGCTGGAGGGGAGGCGGTATATCCCCAGCTGGCCCTCTGCGGGGCGGGAGCCGGGAAGGCGATATATCCCTTGCTGGCACTGGGTGAGGTTGAAGGGGAGGCGGTAAATCCCTAGCTGGCACGGGGAGCGGGGCTTGGAGAGGGCTGGTAGGCAGTATATCCCCAGCTGGCACCGGGGGGGGTTGAAGGGAAGGAGGTATATACCCAGCTGGCACGGGGGGCAGCGTTGAAGGGAAGGCAGCGCTGGGGCTGGGGAGGAGGCGGTATGTCCCTAGCTGGCACTGCGGGGACTGGAGAAGGGTGGAGGGTAGGTAGTGTATCCGTAGCTGGCACTGGGGGGATCGGAGAGGGCTGGAGGGCAGATAGCGCACCCCTAGCTGGCACGCGGCGGGGGTTGGAGAGCTGGGGGGCAGGCAGCCCATCCCTAGCTGGCACTGGAGGGCGGGTTGCGGGGCAGGCGGTGCACCGCAGCTGCCCCCGTGCCTCTGCCCCGGCTGCCACCACCCCGGTCCGGACGGCTGCCCTGCCCTGCCCCCTGCCCTTGCCCTTGCCACTCACGCGCAGGACGTTGCGGTGCCGCAGGCGCTGCAGCAGGATCATCTCCTTGACCAGCTTGTAGGAGGCGAGGCGGTAGCAGTCCCCGCGCGGGCCGGCCCGCTCGGCGCAGCGCTGCACGTCGTGGCCGCCCAGGTCCACGGACTTGAGCGCCACGGCCAGGCTGCGGTTGAGCGCGGCGCGGTGCACCGCCTTGGTGTAGCCCGAGCCCAGGTAGCGCAGGCCGGCGGCGCGGCGCAGCTGCCGGCAGC